GTACCTGCAAAGACTTGGCACATAACTAATAGTTGAATGGAGAGAAGAGCTGCTTGGTTTAGGTTGAACATGATGACCATCAGACTGACAAAGACTGACTGAAAGTTCAGCATCACGTCTGAAATGTATTTGTGGAGGAGGCACAGAGAAAAGGAAGTGCTTATTTCCTGGTTAGTTAGATGGTTTGTCTGCTCAGAACTTAGTTACGTGTTGTAAGTTTGAGGAGCAAAGAAACATTAATTCACATGAGAATCATACAATTGGAACATTGAGAATTGAAACTCACTCCTTCCTGAAAATAAACTCTAATAAATATATCATTAGTAATCCCTTTTCTCATATCCGGCACAGAGTAAAGGAAGTGGTTAGTTACTCTTTCTGTGTATCTTTAGAGGAACTGAAGTCCTGTGACAGTCAAATATAAATAATATAATTCAAATTAGAATCCTGAGAATTTAAGCTAGCTCCTTCTTGAAAATAAACTGTAAAAATGTTTTCATTTGTTGGCATTAAAATGCACAAAATCCACATGTTCAAGTGCAGAAAACCACCTCTGTATAACGCTGGGCCTTTCAGCACCATAGCATGAGAGTGTTCTTTCAGTGCATGTTGAATACTTTTTGATGCTTATAAGAAGCAGAATAACCATTACATATGCATTTCCCAAACCAAGTCAACAGCTTCTATTTTGGAATACTTCATTGTTTTGATCACAAAACACTTTTACAAGAAACACATCTGTTTCTGTCCTGTGTAATTCTCTCATAGAACACTAGAGGGCACAGACCCCCAATCGAAGCCTGTTGAGTTCACATCATTGCCAATAAACAAACATTGTGTAGGAGCCAAGTATGGCCTGTGTCATTTTGTAAACCCTTTTTTGTCACATCCGGTAATTGAGTCACGTGGTGTTGGGGATAGCAAAGGAGATATATATGCTGTTCTGTAGTTTAGTTGGATGAATGGAAGTAGAGGGGGTGAGGGAGTCTTATTTTTTGATGACCGCTATTTACAATACTATTATCACTATTATCATTGTTTGATGCTGTTGATCACCTCTGTACAGCAAGTATTTTGAACGTTTATGAATGTGTGTTATCCAGCACAAAAGTTTGTTTGTTGTTTACAAATAAAACCACAAAACTCAGCCTCTGGATCTGTGAATAATTGACTGCCAGCGCGTCCGCAGGTTAATCTCCCCTACTCCTCTCGGTGACTCATTGTAAGTTACCGATAGTCACCTACACATTGTAAGGAGCTTTCCTTGGTGAGCTCATGGTGCACGACAAACACGGAAACATTCAACACATCATACAAATGATAAAACCATAATAAACACAAGAAAACGCAAAGAGAACCCTGAATACACAAGTGAAAACAAAGTCCTTAAAGTGACGGCACTGGTTTTAATGTAATGTAATAATGTACAAAGGCATCAGTGGCCCAGTTGTCCTCCCTGTGATTGCCTTCCCTTGAAGCACCGGGTTTGTCCATGTCTCTTGTTTAACTTTCATTCAAATGTCTTGTCAGCTCAGAGGCCATAGATTGAATTGAGCCTCTCTGCGTACTGACTCCCGCGCTTGTTGTTTGTCCCACTGCCTGTGCCATCCTGCGGTGGAGGGAGGGACGTCTATAGAGATAGAAAGTGAAAATTAAAGTTCAACGCTGTAACAGAGAAAGAAAAGGAAAGAAGATGACAAAGTTCTTCGGACCTCTTCTACTGAGTGGAGATAAAACTGGTCCTGGACTGGATTTTGTGTCCTGGTCCTGAGTTTTCTGAAAAGATAAAGTTCAAAAGTAAATTAAACACAGTCTTGTAATGATAATTTATTCACAAACACTTACAGGAGGAGTAGTGAGATCCTTTACTTACAAGTACTAATACTGCAATCTTAAAATACTCTGTAAAAGTACACAAGTACTTTCAGCAAAATTGACTAAAAACAATACATCAAAAGTAACAGTACTCATTCTTAAAAATGAGCCCCTGTGAGTGGTATATTATTATATACAGTATGACATTATTAGATTGCACACAACACAAAGGGGCTACTGTTAGTGTCACTGTGTTTTATGTCGTACTGTGCTCCTATGTAGAACTGCACACTATTACAAGACTATCAATGAAAATTCAAGCTAAAGCTAATTATTTGTCTTTTTTAGTGAAGACATTCCGGTCAGTCTTTGTTCTCGCAACAAAGAGCCACAGAAGTATTGTTATGTGCCGTGACTCAATGTAAATTACATTTCTTCTTAATATTTAATACTGTAGTGATTGCAATGATGGGGTTAGATTTACTAACATTTGGTTATGCTTACTTGTGACAATAATACTTTGGCTGGGAAAACTTTAAGTTTTGCGAAAAATGTCAATAAAAGCATGAACATCCCATCCCCCCTCCTTGAACAGGATACACGGTTAAAGACATTGAATGGATGGATATTGGCCAAACTTTTAGTGAAGCAATAGTTTGTTGAAACCCATTGCATCAACTGTCTAGTCTTTGCAGTTATTCTGTTTGCATGACTTTTTACTCGTGACATCAAAGCGTATACTTTCTCTGTGCATGCAGCTACGCTATAGCTATGAATCAAAGCAGGTGACTACAGTGTGGTTTAAGCTCTGTAGCAGCCACAGTCAGGATTTTAGGTCATGAGTAACACCTTTTATGTTAGCCTCTTTGTGCTTTGTGCAATCTAATAATGTCATAATGTAAAAGATATCACTCACAGGGGTCATTTTCAAAAGTGAGTACTGTTGCTTTTTGCATTTTGCTGATAATACGTCTGTACTTTTACTTTGCTTTTGTAATGGATACTACGACTGCAATGGATTATTTCAACATTGTGGTGTTGAGCATCCACCAAAGTGTCAGGGAATGAGAAGTTGTTTTATTTTATTTTTACTTCTTCTTTGATTAGATATTTCCTCATTTATTCCAGGAAACATTTCTAACTTCAGAGTATATTTCATGAGGGAAAATGTTTTATTTTATCCTAAAGACTACGCATTGAGCAGTTTGATATATTTTGTTAAATTAAATAAAAAAGGTCAAAACATGCGTATATTCCCTAATGGTATAGGTATTACTTGTACTTATATCAATAATCAATCCTTCTTCTTCTCTTATTAATATTTTTGGGCTAAAAATTCTTATTTAAGTATATTGAACGTAAAGATACTTGGGTCGGCATGCAAATAAAAAAGAGAAATGCAAACGACATGAGCTCAGCGTAGCAAATGGCAGCTACGACGACATTTTCATGTGTATCACTTTGTTCACTTCCCCCTATATCTTTGCATCGTCCACTGTGCACAAATATACCTCGACCAAACTCGACCATGATTAACCTTAATCCAACCAACTGAGTCCCTGCAGACCCCAGAGGTACACTTGTCACATCTCACGGGTGCTTTATCATATCATTTATATATTTTTTCACTACTTTGTCAATCAATTTGTTCCTAATAACTTCATGTCATTCTTCTCTGTTTCTGTAGAAATACTAATGTATTGGAGTCCTGGGCAACCCCAGTCAAAAGGAGCAAAATGCTGCCAGTTTCAATGGAACCATTTATGCAGTTTGCAGAGGGCACGTTTGCAACGGGTCCTAATTTCACGTACCGCACACTGACAGTGGGGTACGGATGCTCTGTCTGCCATTTTAAAGGAGACAATCATTTCGTTATGTGTACTGTATTTACAATATGCAAATCAACTGTAACGTAACATTTTGGTTTTTTTCTTCGGATGGCATTAATTGCATAACTAATAATGTTTTTTTTGAGAAAGAAAGAAATAAACCCTTTGTTAGGATGGCTGTTTCTTACAGTAGGTTATTCTTGGGGTCCTCGTCGGTAGTGCTTGTATGTTAAATGTGTTGGATGACGGCTAAAGCAGAGCATATCAGATATACTGGGTGAGGTTGCATTGTTAACTGCTGTATCCAAGGTCAATGCTGTGAGCGTCACAAAGGAATTTGCATTTATTTTAGCTTTCATTTGGATGGGGCAGATATTATAATACCCTTTCACAGTAAACCAGGTTTAAGTGCATGGCAAGATACCAATAAGTGTGAGTCAGAAATTGAAATCGAACATAGTTCCCAGTACAGACGACTGCTCTGCACCAGAGCAAAGACGAATTAAATGAATTTGTTCTTACTCACAAATCTGAAAGCTAAAAAGGTATTACTCACCTGTAGAGGCAGACAGCTGTAGTGATTACACATAGAAGAAATCCAATTGCAGCTGTGATGTATAGAGAATACCACAGTGGACTGATTTCTGCACAAAATCAGATTAGTGAATTAATTTAAGTACAGTATCAGTTTTGAAATGTGCTGCGTCTGGTGTAGAGATGAATAGCCGTGTTTTGTGCTCCACCTACCTTCGTGTTCCACAGTCACATTTAAATTCCACTCAATAGCCCTTGTACGTTCTATGCCATTTAAAAAACATCTGTAGGTTCCTGCATCGTCATGCTGAACATTAGCAATATTCATCTTTGAAGGTAAGCTTTTGTCTATTGTTATTTTGTGAGAAGTGAAATTTGAAAAAGTATTATTAAGTAAGATTGAAAACACAAAAACAGATCTGCCTCTGGTCCATTTGATTTGCGTTACATTTGTCTCGGATATGTTGCAGGTGAAGATGACGGAGTCTCCCCTGGACACCAGCTCATCCCTGTGCTCAACTGGATCAATCTCTAACATTGGAGGAAACAACCAATCAATACAAATATAATCTATAATTACATTTACACAATTGGCATGCATAACAATCACAAATATTCACTGTACCTGCAAAGACTTGGCACATAACTAATAGTTGAATGGAGAGAAGAGCTGCTTGGTTTAGGTTGAACATGATGACCATCAGACTGACAAAGACTGACTGAAAGTTCAGCATCACGTCTGAAATGTATTTGTGGAGGAGGCACAGAGAAAAGGAAGTGCTTATTTCCTGGTTAGTTAGATGGTTTGTCTGCTCAGAACTTAGTTACGTGTTGTAAGTTTGAGGAGCAAAGAAACATTAATTCACA